GTGACAGTGGAGCTAAGTGATCTATTACATGTTTAGGGAAGCATTAGAGAGCGTTCTCAGGGCGCCTCTGTGCGTTTCCAGCTGCGTTTGCTATCAGCCCTGCCTGACTTTGTTTATGTGGTGTAGGACCCTCTTGTATTCTGTTCCCCACTGGGCTTTACACTAACACACAAGCACGCACACACACTATGCAACCAACATGAGAGGCACAATGAGAAATTTACTGTCATACAAACAAACACACACACAATCAGGACCCTGAGAAAGTGCAATGAGAGAGCAGGTGTCAGTTTTCACATGCGGTTCTCATGAGGTCCCGGACGGTTAAAAAAATCAGCACGAGTTTTTTCCGAGCTCCGAGCGACGGCTTTTCTCACAGCCTCGGGCCGCAATTCGACTCTGACTTCAGAACAGGAGCCCGTCACCTGCAGAGAGAGGTGGGGAAACGCCACTATAATGAGTCCTCTCACTGAGTTGTTGCAGTGGCTCAGAAAGATGCTTTTGCTGTATGTCCTGATGCAGGGTTGATTTCAGATAACAGATGTGTTATCATTTGTTTAAAAAAAAAAGTGTTTTAACATTTTTTTTAAAGGATTTTAACAAAATGTGGGAATTTTTTATTATTAGAGGCATCACAGATGTTTGTGCATTCATTGTACAGCCTGTATTCCTAATATGAATGCTTAGATACCGTGTAAGCAGCAAACCCACATGTTATGTGTTGCGGCTACACACGCCAGACAACTTAACAAATCTTTAGGCACTTTATTACTAGCAGCCATCATTTATTCTCATTTCTTTAGCTGAAATGATGAAAAACACCAAAGATAACACAGTTATTAACAAATGAAGGACTAAAGTAGAAAAGACAGGCCTGAAAAGCTATCTGCATCAGATGAACAGTGTCTGAAAGTCATGTCACGTCCTGATGGAAACATCGTTGCAGAAACGTTCGGTCAGATTTTGTGTTTGATTGGTAACGGCTTCATTTTTCAGCATGACAGTGATGGATAGAAAAACACACAGTGGAGCACTATCAGTCATGGATTGGCATCCCCAGATTCCAGAACTGTGTGGGATCATCTTGACAGAAAGCAGATCAAAAGGCAGCAAACATCCTAAGAAGAGTTTTAAATGTCCTTCAAAAAGACTGTAGAACTACAAGAAAAGAAGCAAATTGAGGCTGTAAAGAAAAGTAAAGGTGTTCATACCAAATATTGACATTCAAGCTCCATAGATTTGTTTTTTGGGGGTTTTTTTGGCTTCCTACCCACACCTTAATCAAAGAAAATCTCCACACCTGCTCACACTGCATAAAGAGGGGAGGTGTGGGCAGTCATGGAAGAGGAGTCACAGAACATGTACACAAGTGTCGCAAGCATGAAGACCACAGAGCACCAGGATGGAGAAGATAGACAGATACAAAAGAGATTGGCCCTGGACTTGTCCGTGGGGCTGGTGTCAAATATGGCGGAGGAGTTCCTCAGCGAGACACAACCAGTGAAAAGAGTGATTTCTGTGATGGTTGGTGCTATAGCATCTATTTCAATACTGTGCTTATAATATATGAGTGGGACTAGCTTGCTCTATTATAAATTGGTTTTTTTTCTTTTTTGGTTCCCTTGCCCCCCTTTTTTTTTAGCTGCTCTCCACTTCTTCCTTCTCCTTTTCCCTCATTACAATGTAACCTTGACGTTTCCATCCACCATCCATTTAGACATTTGGCGTCTCAAGGTTTTTCTCAGCGTGTGTCCCAGACTATAAGTTATGTTAAAACCGTTTCCCATGACTAACCTAACAAATTTTCCAGGCAAAACACAGCACACAGCACAATCCTGTGGAGAGAGGGGCATATTTGTACTGCCTCCCTTAGCGTAGGCTTATTATCAGAGCATCCTGACAAGGTCTTAGATCTCATTACCAGCAGGCTCTGTGCAGGAAAACAAACAGCAATGATTTCAGATCAACCAGATTAGAACCAAGGTGCCATGGGAAGCTGCAGAATAGTCTGGGAACAAGGACGCTTTAACTTTTCGACTCATATCAAGTCTTTTTCAGAGACTACTGCTGCTACGCCAAACTTGAACAACGTTATTGTGATCACTCTCTTTTACCACCAACGTCCAAAGCTCAGGGTTCTTGTCGACCTCCAATATGATCAAAGTCATCAAAACGAGTTGAAAGTGGTGATAAAGCTGTATAAATTTGCAAGATGTCGATTAAGCTGTGTGTCTTTCTGCATTTATACAGGTTTTATCCATACTTTACACTCACTTTCCTCCTATTGTAAATCTGTAGGCCCCTTTTTTCACACTAGAATCCCAATATGACATCATCTACGTGGTTCTTGCTCGCTTCTTCTTTTTTAAACCCCTGTCATTATGTCCGTAGCAGCGAGAAGAGACAGTGAGAGAAAGTTACAGAATGTCAAGGCCCCGTAAATACCACTAACACCACACTGCCACTACATCCTCTCTGTGTTTGGGAAGTCCCCCCTTACAGAGGAGTACAGGATTACCAAGCAAACAGACACAGGACTAACACATGCACGCAAAGTCTCGTATCTATACAACAGCACTGTTTGAAGACATTCACATTGGCATGCTGGTGAGAACGCAGCAGCAGAAACACAGAGAGAGGGAGAAAAGGGAGAGGAACCACTGCGGGAATCTGGTTCAGTGGTTAAAGTATGAGGACAAACAGGCAGTGTTTCATTACAGTCAAAGATGGCATTGTTCTGGATGCAGGACGGAAGCAACCAGGTCGGTCGGTTCACGTACACAACGTGACCTTTAATCGTAACTCGCTCACACGGTTTGATTGCAGCTTATGTAATTTGTTGTTCTTTCGCTGTGTGCATCAAACACAAGGGTCCTGTGAAATCGGCGTGCCGAGTAATGCCACATCTTTGTCGCACAGGTTAAGTGCTTACTTTAAAAATATGTGATGGAGACAGAAAGAAAATCAAAAGGCCAGAATCTTAGCTTTGGACACAGCTCGAGTTATTTCACGCTGTTGGTTTTATTTTAGTGTTGCACATCAAAAAAGAAAAAAAGAAAACCACATCAGTGCTTAAAGTGTACTTGTTGTGTGCATATAGCCACATCACATAAAAGCGCTGAATGTGATCCAGGCTGGATGTAACTCCAGTTGAGGTCATAACAAGGTCACGAGGCGTGTGTGTAGCTTTTGTTTTAACAGACACATGTACGTGTGGACGTGTGCAAACCTGACTGTGCACACGTGGATGCATTGGCACGTCTTTGAAGTCTATAACTAAGTTTAGGTACTAAATATATTCATGTGTCTTTCACCAACTCACCACCACCACCATCGCTTTGTGCTTTAAACTCTGCTCCTTTGAAATGCCCCACAGACAGCAAAGCTCCGTCCTGCCACACACAATAAAGCAGCTGGATTTCTGCACATGTGCCTTTGTGTTGCTCTGAGGCCTTGTCATAACTCCATCGGAGGGGTCTAGACATTTATCACACGCGCACACACGCACACAGACACACACACAGGGGCGCAAGAATGCATGCACTTCCACAGAAAGCTACTCGCTCAGGGAGATGGATGGCAGCACTGGCACAAAAGAATATTTGATTTGGTTATAAGTACCGCGACATGAAAGAGAAGCACGGCGGGGGGGCGGTGAGGGCAGAGGGCACAACCAGCAGAGGTGGCTAGATCTTCATCACCATCATATATGTGTGAAAATGAGGGCAGCGTTATTGAACTACTCTGCACGTCTGCCCTTTTGCCCTGTTTCATTGATATTTACTTCTATAATAGTAGGTGTTACATATTCGCTGCACATTTAGAGGTCTTTGAAGTGGGCCAGGGCAGGGTTGAACTACAATATAAATCAGAGCACTGAAAAGCTTCTAGTAGACAAATATACTTAATTATAAGTTTGAATAAACTTGTTCTGTGTTTGCTTAAATCTTACAACCATGGCTTCAACACAAAGTGGGATTTTTCTTTCTTTTTTTTTGCACAAAACTAAGCTTTTCAACTCGTTCACAAAGTAGTCGTTATATTTCTATATTTCTTTTAGCCAAGTTTTTATCCCGCCTCGTTTAAATATTTGACCTTGACGTCAGTGCTGTGCCAAGTAAAAACAGGGCCAGTATACCGATACTTCTAATCTATAAATCATCATTAATTTTCAAATTCAAACACATTTTAATGACCACTGTGATTTTTATTTTTACTTCACAATAATTAGTTAACACAACAAAACACACCTTTCAGCTTTCCATGTAGTTTGAAACTGGGTTTTTGTGTAAATACGCCTGTCGCTAAAGAATTTGGGGTCACTTCTTCTTCTGCTGTTTAAATGTGCTATAAGCTATACATAAAATAGGCACTGCAGTCAACACAAAAAGGTTAATGGTGCATGTTTGAGGTTTAGTTTTTCTTTTCCAAAAAAGAAAATTTAACACAAAACCAGCTTTGGTATGATCGATATTTGTATCCATCCGCCGACTTTTACTTCGCATTCATGAGTTGTGTCTGAGAAATAAAACTGCGGCCGAGAAATAAAACTGCAGAGCTTTCTTTAAAAGTAAGAGCATTGTTCTGAGCTACACATACTCTTAATTTATTCATATATATTTTTTAGAATATTAAATATTAAATGAAGTACAAGCAGAAGTGACGATGTAGGATGAAGTGAAACTAATGGAGGTGATAAAACTTCTCAGTCGTGTGTGGAGGAGGAGGGGTGGGGGTGTTTTTAAACTGCAGTACTTTCTGTACACTCACTCCTCACTCAGGCCGGTTCGTTTCTATCTTGTATGCAGACACAATAGTGAATTGTTACTCGGTTCCATCCTTGCATACAGTTACTCACTCTCAGAGTCAGACCTCCCTCCCTGCCCCCTCTGCTGGGCGAGTGGTTTAAAGTTTCTCTCGCTGCATTCTGATTGGTCCGTGAAGTTTTCCTGAGGGGGGATAAGTTTAGAGCTCCGCACCTCCACGCTCACATTGGCCCCGGAGAGCGAGTGCAGAAGTTGTATTCTCTTATCATACGCATCAGGATAAGAGGGTACAAAGTTATGGAGGTTATCAGAGGTAGATTATTATTTGTTTTATAGACTTTTTTTTACTCACTGAGATTTAGGACATCGGCAGTTTGGAATAATCTTTTTTTCCCTCCACCTTACTTTGCATCATTCATCCAACATGCCCGGCTTTGGGGTTTGGATTTACGCAGTGTGGATTTTACTTTTTAGCCTTTTCCACGTGAGCCTTTCAAACTATTCCGAAGACCAGTGCAGCTGGAGAGGCAGGCAAGTATTTCACATTTGATCTGTGGTGTGTGTGTGTGAGTGTGTGTTCACTGGGCACGATGGAAAAGAGGATTTAAAAATGCCCGCTCAGAGACGCTTACAGGTGCCTCCTGTTCGTGTGGTCGGTGTTTGAGTGAATGCGACAAGTCGAGACTTGTCACTGCGGTGCAGTTTAAATGTTTGCGGGGCTCTGCTGCGATTGCGCCTCTGGTGTGTCTGCGGGAGGCACGGAGGGTCAGACGGGCAGGAGACTGAAAGATTAAATCACATGCATGGAGAAAATATACACTACATGTGCAGCTGTTGGAGGCTGCTCTTTACTACAGACATGTTTTTCAAATTTCAGTATTCAATATATATATATATATATTTTTTTTTTTTTACATATATTTATAAATTCTAAACACTACAGTTGAGTGTAGATGCCACTCAGGGTCATCATCTCTGCAGATCTGCCAGTAGGCAGCGCCTTGTCTGAAACTAAAGTTGACTTTTAATGACATTTATTCACCAGACATCAAACTTTTATTGCTGATGTGCAGTGATCACATTTAATCCCCTCTCCTTCCATCCTGCAGCTGTGTGCAGATGTTTCAGGAAAGTTTGGCCTGAACAAACTTCATAAAAAAAACTTTATTTAACCTTGTCTCCTCTCCCTTTTCCTCCTGCTCACAGCGGTTTGTCCCAGCAGCAGGGCAGCGTGGAGCAGATCTCTCTCCACTGCTCTGAGGGCACACTGGACTGGCTTTATCCCAAAGGAGCCCTGCGCCTCACCCTGTCCCCGCGCCTGCCCTCCATGGTGGTGGGCCCCAGCGGCAGCAGCTCTGGGCTCATCACTGCCTGCGTCAAGCCCTCTGAGGAGTTCCACGGAGCCCAGCTCTACCTGGAGAGAGATGGGGTCCTCGAGCTCCTGGTAGGAGACCGCCTGGAATCCTCCCCCCCGCCGAGGGTGCGCTGCTTCAGCCGCCTGCCTGGGGAGAGGGTGGCCCTCTTCCTGCAGGCTACACCACATCAGGACATCAGCAGGAGGATCGCCTCATTTCGCTACGAGCTGAGAGGGGACTGGACAGCTCGCCTGTCCCTGGACTCCCACCCTATTAGCACTGAAGGTGAGTAGGTGAGAGCAGGTTGCACGAGGTCTCCCGTGTTGGTGCTGAGGAGGGTCTTGCTTAAGCTTGAACCTTTCTTCATATTATTTGTGTTTATGAATCAACATTTCCTCCATGAGTGGCTGCGTAACACCTTAAAGTTCACAGGTTTGTCCAAAATAGGACTTTAGCAGCATGCAGTTCTTAAATCTGTAAAAGGTCTTTCGCTTCCTTTCTGTAAAATTGGCAGATGCGAGTTTGTGATTCACCACTGACGATATTATTACCCCATAAAATCCTCTTTGAGGATGATTCATAACTCGGAACAGGCCTCTGCGGTCTGCATGGACTTTCCACGGCCGTGCAGAGAGAAGGAAGTGGCCAAACTTTTCCCCCAAAGGGTTTGAAGTAGGAGAAGGGGAGCGGTGAAGTGGGGAGGAGGGGTACAAAAGCCCAGTATGTGGGGCTTTCTCCAGAGTCCAGAGCCCTTTGAATGGCTGGCGCATGAGTATTCTGGGATTACTGCCGTTGTCTAGGCAACAGGGAGGCCTCTGCCCAGCTGAGATGCTCCCCTCTTTTGTTGAGTTGCCTCTTGTCTGTAGGAGTTTACCCCCCCCCCC